CTGACCCTTGGTCTCTGCAAGGCCGTTCCTCTCGCATTTTTTTCTCACTTCTCTCTCCCATCTGCTGTACAATGTTTTTACCCTGAAATATGTCATCACAGAGATACTACCAACATCATTGGTGGACTCAGCTTTGGGCAGTGGTAGGTCCATCTTGGAGCTGGAACTGGCTCTGCCTGACATGGGGGCAGCTCCTGGGGTCTTCTCACAGCTCCTGGGGTCTTCTCACAGAAGCCAACCTTGCAGTCTCCCATCCACGTCCAAAACCTTGCCATACCAAATATGCATGCTCCCATAGATGCTCTTCAGTATCCCAAATCTTCCTGTTCCTTTGCTTTCCCATTCTTACCAGATACAGAGTCCTGGTGGCCTTCTCCAAAGCTGTGCCTGCAGTTTCTGGGCGTCCCATCAATTTGTAACTGGAGACTTTTGGTCCTTGGCATTGTCACTGTTACTTCTTGTCTGTTAGGTTTGTGTCTCTGTGCATTTGTGTTCATCATTTATCTCATTAACTTACTGACCTCCTTTGCAGTGAAAATATTCTTGATCAGATAGCCCTAATGAGGCAAACTCTTACTTTCCACATACTCTTATAAATGATATAAAAGACTAAAATCTTACTTAACTTTTTCTCATCTCATTCTTGGCTTACCCTGTTCTGTTTCCTGGCTGTAGCTGTCATTCTGAGTTGAAGGCATGTGTGAGTTTCTAATAATTCCAGCAGGTTTCTTGAAGAAACTGACACCACCACAAGGCCTTTCTCTGCAAGCTTTGGTGTGCTCATAGACAGCAAGACAGAAGCAGTGGAAGTTTAGGATCAAGTGTGTGAGGAACCATGTCTGTGGCTAAGTACATAGAGATCCTCTAGCTGTTTTGCTGGGGGAGAAAATGGCAAATCAATGGCTTGAGTATTGTCTTCACAGGAAGAAGTATTGCTGGAGAAGAGACATGGTTGTTTTCTCTGTGGTGTAACTGGGTGTTAACTCTAGGAATAAAGATGGAGTTTCTTAATCTGGGTTAAGGATATTTGAATCTTCTGGCAGGATTCAGTGAGACAGTGTCTGGTAGCCTTCAAGGATGTTACAGACATTTTAAACTATTGCCTGCATTGAGAGGAGTGGTGAAAAGTTTTGGAATGATTTATGGCATATAAATAGAGTTCTGTTTCTTTGCTCTGTGTTTCTTGTGCAAATGGTTATTTCAAAACAAAACAAAACAATAGCAAACTCCTGTCCTACCTTTGATGCAAAATAAAAAGTTCTTGATTAGTTAAAATTAACCCCAGACTAGGTTTGGTCATACAATGATCAAAAGTGAATATGACAATAAAATATTATCTGATTCCCTTAAATACTATTAATTACAGCGATTTTTCATAAGATGGGGGCTCCTTTCTCCCCCTTTCTCTTCTCCCAGTCCAACCTCAAAGCAAACCAGCGTAGGTATTGTCTTATGCTTTGTGAGGGGGGTTGGGGAAAAGGGAACCTACTGCCCAGTCTGCAACTTGCTATTTGTGGTTAGTAATCCTTTTTTGTTGTTTTTAGTAATCTCCTTTTGCTGTACACATGCTCAGTATAAAGTGAAAAAAGACTAATTAAGAAATATACTGAGATCTTTGGAAGAATGAAATTGAAATGGTTTCACTTACAGCTTAATTTCTTAATTGAAGAAAATAACTGGTATTATTTATTTCGGTGTACACTTAGCACAGTTTATATGGGCAAACTGAAGATGATGAATTAAGACAAAGCCTGTTTAGTGAATGGAATGTTCCAAATTGTTTTTTTTGGCTGAAATTCCTGTTGTTTGTTTACCTGCATACTTGATTACTATTCCTTTCTTTCTCTGCATATTTAATTGCTGTCTAATTAATTGCTCTGTTGATTTCCTACAGAATTAATTATTCCCTAATTAATCGTTGATTCCCTGCATAGTTAATTAACTTATTGCTTATTTGATTTTTACACTTAATTGACTATAATTCATTGCTCTATTGCTACACCACCTAATTAGCAACTGGTTAATCAATTCTTGTTTGCTTACTCCTAATCTCGTTGTTTAGGGCTGTGTCAGTGAGATTACAGTTTACCGCCTGCTGTCTGACTTCCTTTTCCAGTCATTCTTCCTTAAAATAATTTCTTTTCTCACTTTTCTTTCCATCTCACCTCTGAGCAAAAGACACAGGTCTTCTGCACGGTCTCCTGGTGCCTTCTGCACCTCCACACTCGCTGTTCCTTGCCACCTGCTCTGGTCGCTTTGGGTTTTGTTCCAGCTTTGCTGTTTCTGGTGGTTTGTGTAACTGGGCACTTGAACCAACCACACAGACTTTTGGGGATTCTTCTTGCTCTTCTTCCCATCTCCAGGTCCTCCCAGGGAGGGATGGGAGATAAGTGGTATTTGAGTATGCAGATATTGAAGGAGGCAGGAGGACATAAAGCAATGAGCCTGAACTGTCAGGGAAAAGCAACTAGCAGGTCAGGAGGCAGAAGCAGTGGCAAATAAAACTTTAGTGCCCGCTAAATAACGGAATTTCTATATTCAGTGTTAGTTACACCTTCAGGTAAATGCTCGTGGGTTTCATAGTGAGAATCTTCAACGTGCATTAACATTTAGAAAGAACAGTTGTCATCCCATTCGGTTAGGAATAAACCATTCACTTAAAAATAATTCTAACTAAAGCAGACCTAGTTCAAAGGAGCTGATTCAAATGAGCATTTCCATTAGAAACATACTGCAATGAAAACAGAAATGTGTGTGTGCTCAAGACATCAAAATGCCTGAGAGGGAACCCTGCCGAGCTCCTAAAGCCACGTTGAGTGTGCTGCATGTTTGCATAGCTGCTTGTGTGTGTCATGTGGAGTGTATTTCAGTCAGGAACAGTATTTGGGTTATCCTTCAGAGATGTTTTGAAAGAGATGAAGTCATGCTCTGCCTTTCAGTTTTGGGGTAGTTGTATTATTTCTGAAGATGAGGCTGTTTTTGTTACAGTTTCAAATGGAAATAACTGGAAAAGAGAGCCAGTTCTGCTCTTCTTAACATTCAGAACACCTTAAACATGGATTTTTCTTGGGTGGGGTGAACCATGTCATTGATATGTCATGATGAGAACCTTGAATAGAGGTAGTGATCTCTGCTTGGGATTTTTCTGAAAACAGGACCCAAAATACAGCTTCCCTCTTCTTTTCCCCTTGGATTCATCCCAAGGTTCATAAAATAACACTATTTCTGTAGTTACCCAACTAATGTGTGGTTTGGTTTGTACCTCAAATAGCAGTGGTTATTTGAGTTTTCTTTCAGTGTGTGTATATCACTGTTTTGTCTCAGGGAGGTGGACAGAGAGGAGCAATTGAAACCAGTCTCTGGGCCAGGAGGGTGTAGTGTAGCTGAAGAACAAGCATGTTGTTAAAATTGATTCCTGGTTGTTGTTAGGTTCCATTGGACACTGAAGGGAGCAGGGACTGATGAAAAATCAAACCATTAAAATAAATAACAGGAGTTTTAGAAAACAAAGTCCTCTGAATTAACTCTGCCAAATGATGTTTGTGAGCTTTTTTTTTTTAGCTGGGTTTTTCTGAACTGTTAACTTTCTATTAATCATTCTTTATTATTTTACTCCTTTGTGGCTTTGCTTTCATGTCTCACCTCTAGGACCTGTGAATTAAAAGCAAACACAAAGTTTTGTCTCAAAGTTCTATGGCATTTATGTTTAATGCATTGAGCAAGGGAAGTTTTAAGGAAATTCTTCCTTTTCTTCTGCTTTGAAGGTTTTTATTTTGTTGAGTTTTGGGATTTTATT